CTGAACCCTCTCAACCCTCTCGGCATCTCTCGGCCCTCTCAACCTTAAACCCTAAACCCTGAACCCTAAACCCTAAACCCTAAATCCTAAACCCTAAACCCTAAACCCTAAACCCTAAACCCTGAACCCTAGGCTCCGAGACCCTCTGAACCCTAAACGGCTCCGCTTGTACTTGGGGTGTGGGAATTCCCTGTCACTTTTGCGGTGGACCATGGCAGGGACTTGGATGTTCCCCTCTTAGACTCAGGGTTTAGGGTTTAGGGTTTAGGGTTTAGGGTGTGGGGTGTGGGGTGTAGGGTTTGGCGACTAGGGTTTGGGGCTACTGTCTTTAATACGGATTATAGCAACCGCCCATTATAATCCCGACTAAGGACTGCTAGCATATGGGGGAACATCCCAAGCACCCTAAACCCGAAACCCGAAACCCTAAACCCTAAACCCTAAACCCTAAACCCTAAACCCTAAACCCTAAACCCTAAACCGTGGTTCTGACTGAGGCCGGAGCTGCTTGCACTTGCCGCAGTACACCTGCGCCTTCGTGCGCGCTGAGGGTTCAGGGTTTAGGGTTTAGGGTTTAGGGTTTAGGGTTTAGGGTTTAGGGTTTCGGGTTTCGGGTTTCGGGTTTCGGGTGTAGGGTTGAGGACTTAGGCGAATGGTTGGGGTAGTCGCGCGAAGCAGAAGCAGCCATCAGAAACCTCCGGTGCTTCTTTGGGTTCGGGCGCCTCTGATGATCATGACAAGAGAGCAGGCCCAGGACCAAGGGTTTAGGGTTTAGGGTTTAGGGTTTAGGGTTTAGGGTTTAGGGTTTAGGGTTTAGGGTTTAGGGGTTAGGGTCTAGGAACCCAAACCCCCTAAACCCCCCCAAAGCCCCAGCAGCCCTTTTCGGTGGAGCCCCATACTTGTATGATTATGGAAACTGGATCAAAAGGGGAATTTAGGGTTTAGGGTTCAGGGTTCAGGGTTTAGGGTTGGGGCTGAGGGTTTAGGGTTTGCGAATGCTCGACCCAAGAGTAACCCAGGAATGAAAAGGGTGCCCTTGTTGTTGGTTGTTATCGCGGCTTGTAAGCGAACTCAAACCCCAAAAACCCTAAATCTGAGAGATCGACTGGAAGCTTGGATGGACAGGGTTGTGAGTGATTCTGATTGAGTCAGGTTACGACTCACCTATATCTATAGTTACCCGAACTACCTGCAGCTTCGGCCACCCCGAAAACCCTAAACATCCCTATGCCCACGCAAACCCTTTAAAATACCTTGTTTAGCCTACAAAAAAGGTTCTAGACCCAAGAGTCACCTAGCAATAAACAAGGTGCCCTTTTTGCTTTAAAGGGGATTATGAGGGAACCTAAACCCTAAAGAAGAAACAAAAGGAAAAAAGGGCTTACTCTGAACATGACCCATGGCCTTGGCGTAGCAAGTTGCGCACAGCCCCTCCTCGCACACGCACGTGGGGGGGAGCTAGGAGCTTTGGGGAATTTAGGGTTTAGGGTTTGGGGTTTGGAGTTTAGGGTTTCAGGTTTAGGGTTTGGGGTTTACTGTAGGGTTTAGGGACTCTAAACCCATAACCCTGGCCAAACTCTTCGAGGCCTTGCTGTCCCAATTAAGGAACATGACGGGTTTAGGGGTTGGGGTTTGGGGTTTGGGGTTTGGGGTTTGGGGTTTGGGGTTTGGGGTTTGGGGTTTGGGGTTTGGGGTTTGGCGTTTGGGGTTTGGCGTTTGGGGTTTAGGTTTGGGGTTTAGGGTTTGGGGTTCAGGGTTTCGGGTCCTAGTGGTAGGCACTCGACAAGCGGATAGCTGGGGGGCTGGGGGAGGGGAGGTAGACCCATAAACCACCTATAAGCCATGTAAACCCCTATATGCCCCCTGCAACGCCCAGTTGTCGTCCTTGCAGGGTTTGGGGGCCCTTAGGGCTGCAGGGGCTTAAATTCTACACGCTCAACCCTTAAACCCGAAACCCGAAACCCTTAACCCTAAACCCGAAACCCCCGAAACCCTAAACCCTAAACCCTGAAACCCTAAACTCCACGGCTTTGGTCTCGCAAGCCAAGGTTAGTGTTGTCCTTCGCGCTTCGCAGAGTGCCGGCTTCCATGTTCTGCAGGGAAGGCCTAGCAAGCCCTGACCGGTAGCATACAGGGCTCCTAAACCCTAAACCCTAAACCCTAAACCCTCAACACCCGGAAGCTCTGTGATAAATTCTCGGAAGCGTGTTGGCGGACATTTTCTGAACCCTATAAAACACAAACCCCGATTGCAATGGAAAGAACTTTCCTGGAAGGGTCCTCAAGTCTCTGGGCTCCAGGATTGGTTTTGAAAGGCTTAGAAGACAAGGGCCTATGAGGCTTTAGGACTCAGAATTTTGCATCCCTAAACCCTAAACCCTAAACCCTAGACCCTAGACCCTAGAGCCTAGACCCTTAAACCCCAAACCCTAAACCCTAAACCTAAACACAACACAAAGGGCTCAGAGCCAGCGGTGGCGAAGGTGAGGCTCGCGGTTCAGGATTGCTGGGTTTGGGGTTTTGGGGTTAGGGGTTTGGGGTTTAGGGTTTAGGGTTTAGGGTTTGGGGTTTAGGGTTTAGGGTTAGGGTTTAGGGCCGGTTCGAAGTTTGGGGCTGGGGGTTGGGAGAGTTTTGGGGACTTCACCCCGAAGCCCATAAGGGGTTAGGGTTTAGGGTTTAGGGTTTAGGGTTTAGGGTTAGGGTTTAGGGCCGGTTCGAAGTTTGGGGCTGGGGGTTGGGAGAGTTTTGGGGACTTCACCCCGAAGCCCATAAGGGGTTAGGGTTTAGGGTCTAGGGTTTAGGGTTTCGGGTTTAGGGTTTAGGGTTTAGGGTTTAGGGTTTAGGATTTAGGGTTTAGGGTTTAGGGTTTTGGGTTTAGGGTTTAGGGCTCAGGGTTTAGGGTTTAGGGTTTGGGGTTTGGGGTTTAAGGGGAGGTTTAGGGCCACCCATCAAATTAGTCCCAGACCATCAGGTACCCAGACCCCTGGGAGGATCCAAAACATAGATCCCCTTAAGGGTTCCTGAAAATGACCCAATAGTAGTAGAGGGTACTATTTGGGTTCTATTTTTGTTTGATCCTCCCATTGCAAAGCAGCAACACAACAAGCAAAACACACCAAGAAACACTACAACTACCCAAGACGGACCCCAAAAGATCAACCGCAGGTAGGCTCCTGAAGTCTCTAACTCATGCAATCCCCGCAGGAAATGCTTCCAACAAGTCCTTGAAGAGGAGGCCCTTCAAAGCCCGTAAACGAAGACTCCAGATGAAGCCCCTTAAAGGTTGCCCCTCAAGGGAAGTCTTAAAAATTGGAGGCTCCAGAAGGTCCCTAAACTTCTGCAAAGTCCGTGAACACCCCCGGCCATATTCTGAAAAATTTGCATCAGGATTGTGATACGAGTATAAACACACATAGAGAAATGACTAAACACATATATTGTGATTGAATGAATGAAGGAAGGAACCCACGAATGAATGAACGAATGAATGAGAGTGGGTAGGATTAAGGGTTTAGGGATCCGGGTAGGTAGGCTGTGGAACAGTTTTTATGTATGAGGGAACTTGTGCGGCCCTGCAACTCTTGATAGAGGTGCTGATGAGGTCAGGGTCTAGGGTCTAGGGTCTAGGGTCTAGGGTCTAGGGTCTAGGGTCTAGGGTCTAGGGTCTAGGGTCTAGGGTCTAGGGTCTAGGGTCTAGGGTCTAGGGTCTAGGGTCTTAGGGTTGAGGGTTTAGGGTTTAGGGTTTAGGGTTTAGTTTAGGGTTTAGGGTTTGGGGTTTAGGGTTGCTTAGAGCTTGGGGCCTGGTCTGTTTGCTTTTCCTGTGAGGGACGGGCCTCACCCCAACCCCTTGATTTTCATGATTCAAGTCCCTTCAGCCGGGTACCAGCAAAACCCTAAACCCGAAACCCTCAAACTGAAAAGCTAAAACCTTTGAAACCCATGCCCAAATTCTTCAAGCCTCGATTTGTAATTAGAACAGGGTTTTGAGGGTTATTCTCGAATAATTACAAAGGGAAACACCCTTTAAAAAAATCATCCGCGACCTCTAGAGTAGCCTAAACCCTAAACCCTAAACCCCTAAACTGCCCGCAAGCTGTGGAACCGAAAAATGGCCCCAAAGACTCGAAGCTGTGACGCCCTAAACCTTGCGCTTTCAATCCTGCGAAGATTCTGTACAAACAGGGTTTAGGGTTTGGGGTTAGCTTTAAGCCCTATGAACCCTAAACTCGAAACCCAGTAATTATGAGGGTCTAAGGTTTAGGGTTTAGGGTTTGGGGCTTAGGGTTTAGGGCTTGTACCGAAAGCACCTAGAGCCGGCCTCCTGGAGCCGCGTAGAAAGCTTCTCCTGTGGCGGTGCGCTTCAAGATTTGCAGGGCTTAGGGCCTACTTGGAGGTTCAGAGCACTTAATAATAACCCAATTCTAGCCATACTAGGGGCACTTCATGGGCCTATAAGTGGGTTATAAGTACAGTTATAGTTGGCTTGTTATGTACCATGAACCTCCAAGTAAAGCTTCGCGCGTGCGAAAGCTTCAAAGCATTTGGGCCTTGCGGTGAAGGCTTCGGCATCTAACGCCCGACCAATGCAACGGCCTCTCTCTTCTAGGATGGCCCTTAAGCCCTAAACCCTAAACCCTAAACCCTAAACCCTAAACCCTAAACCCTAAACCCTAAATATGATCCTCTTAAACCCAAGAAGGGAACATGCAAAATGCCCCAAAGGCCCCACCTAGTCTTTTTCAGCCGAGCCGAGACCACTGGCCCTTCTTGCCCACATCTTGCGTGCATCTGTGACTTCTCACCTCGTTGCTCCGAATTCTGACATACTTGGGAGGTTTGTGGTACCTAATTGCCAAGTATAGCTGTATTTGTAACCCACTTATAGGCCCCTTAGTTACCCTAAAATGACTGCAATTGGGTTATCATAGCACCATGAACCTCCAAGTAAGACAATGGCAGCGGCCGCAGCAGGAAATTGGATGCTGCTGCCCTCCGGGGCATCAAGGTCTCTCCGGGCGTGCTGCCTTCTTCGAATTTTCAATCACTTTTCTTTGATTTTGCTGCCACTTCAGCCCATCTCCAGGCGTAGAGTAGATCGGAAGCAGCCAAACGAGCACATTTCGACCGAGGACACTTTGAATGTTAGCCCAAACTCCAAGGTCATAGCGTGAGCTATACTCCCCCTGCCCCGACTGCTCGCAGAACTCGATGGTCGTCATGTTCTTGCAGAGCATCCACACATGAAAAGCCAGGAAAGGGGTCAAGCAAAGCCCCAGCAAACCCGACAACGCCAAGCTTTCCAGCACCACTGCTGCAGTACCGGGTACAAGCATGCCTGACCAAACTGCTGACACGGAGACCCAGCAGACCGAGTTGGTCGAGATGACCGCATAGAGAAGGAACAGGAGGAAATACTTGTAGTTCGCAAACCTTGGTAGCCCAGCAACCATCTTAAGATAAGGGCACCCTTTTCTGGGTGTTGGCTACTTGATAAGGGAAACCTTGAACCCAAAAAAATGGTAAAGGGTACCACTGGGCTACCAAGCCTAAACCCTAAACCCTAGCCCTAAACCCTAAATCCCTAAACCCTAAACCCCTCAATCAGTTTGACAAGGGGAATGGGTCTCCAAGAAACCCAATGCAGTTTCCCATCCAAGGGCAGTAGTGGTCCATGCGGAGCACGTTGCGCTGCGTGCTCGAACAGAAGTGTGCCCGGTCTGGCTTGTACTTCCTTGGCTGAAACCCTAAACCCTAAACCCTAAACCCTAAACCCTAAACCCTAAACCCTAAACCTTGGCTGTTTGTACCATATGCGGTTTAGGGTTTATCCCCAAAACCATGCAGAAAAAGCCAGGGATGACTCCAAGAATCGACATCTCAAACCCCAACTCAAACCCTAAACCCTAAGCCCTAAGCCGTAAGCCCTAAACCCTAAACCCTAAACCCTAAACCCTAAACCCTAAACCCCAAACCCTAAACCCCACCACCTAAGCCCTAAACCCTTTGTGTAAGAGCCCAAGCATCATCTCTTTGCTGCAGAAGCGCATGTCGCCCGTCGACTTCTTCCGCTCTGAAATCCTTAGCATCCCAATTTTGGGGTTTAGGGTTTAGGGTTAGGATTTAGGGTTTAGGGTTTAGGGTTTAGGGTTTAGGGTTCAGGGTTTAGGGTTTAGGGTTTAGGGTTTAGGGTTTAGGGTTTAGGGTTTGGGGTTTAGGGTTTAGGGCTCAGGGTTGAGGGTCCCGTGCACATAGAACAAACTTGTTAAGTACAAACAAACACAAAAATTTTTGCAGCATGCAATCCGAAATTCATCCGCGCGACGCGCTCTTTGGTTCCAGGCCCCTCCTTCCAGGAGTCTGGAACTCTGCCAGGGTCGGTGACAACTGCTTGATGGTACGACGCCAATGCCATCATGAACGAGACATGGAACGTATAAGACATCTGCAAACTCAGATTGCAAGTTGAGGCGTTGCGCAGGCAACACAGGAAGAACACGAAATAGAGAGTCCCCATCATCATCACCACCGACACCATTGGTACCGCGTCATGTAAGGGCTTTCCCTCGAAGCGCTTCAGCAATGGGCATGTCTGCAAAGTCTGAAGCGCAGCGGCGGCGTGCGTCAGAAGTCTGAGGGCATCCGTCACGGCATCGTTCACCAAAAGCTGTAGATCCTCTTAGTATCCCAGTACCCATATTGAAATAAGGGTACACATTGTTTTGTTGGTTACTTTAAAAAAAGGGAACCCATAACCGAAGTCCTCCATCAACTCGCCCAATGCCAGCCATGTCCTGCGGCTCCCTTGCCGCAGCACCTTCTCCGAGCCTAGGATGGCCCTGAAAAAGCCCCCTAAACCCTAAACCCTAAACCCTAAACCCTAAACCCTAAACCCTAAACCCTAAACCCTAAACATATAGTCCTCTTAAACCCAACAAGGGACGATATAAAAATACCCCCAAGGGCCTACCGAGGAGCTGACGTCTCCATCCCCCAGGCAGCAGGCTGCACCCAAGAAGCATCCCAGGACTGACCCACTTCCCATCCTTGGCTGGCCCCTGAATACCTCTGGAAAAATGATTCCTTCAGATGACCTCTTAAACACAATAAGGGAAAAATTCAAAATATCCCAAAGGCCTACCCCTAAACCCTAAACCCTAAACCCTAAACCCTAAACCCTAAACCCTAAACCCTAAACCCCATAAACCCCATAAACCCCATAAACCCCATAAACCCCATAAACCCCATAAACCCCATAAACCCCATAAACCCCATAAACCCCATAAACCTAGCATCAGCATCCCGCCCTCCAAGAGGGGCGTGCAGGAGCCGTAGTGGCCGGTCTCGCCCCGGCGCAGCAAGGCTCCCTTGCCTTAGGTGGGCCCTTGAAACACCCTAAACCCTAAACCCTAAACCCTAAACCCTAAACCCTAAACCCTAAACCCTAAACCCTAATTTTCCTGAAGAAGATCCCCTTAAAAACCCCAAAAAACAAGACTGGGACATAACGACGCATCCCCCCACAAGGCCCACCGAGTTGCCCGAGCTGCCTGACTCTTCGAGGCCGTGCGCGGGGCCGGAAATCAGGGGGTTGAACTTCCCCGGCATCGTCTTCCAGGCGCGCGCCAGCGGGCACAAGGGGGAACCCACAATCAAGGAAAGAGCGGCGCTCGATCCGCGCTGTGGGCCGACAAACCCCCCAGTTTGAAAACCCTGCATCCCGTAAGCAACCTAAACACCCCCAAAACACTCCAGCTTGTGTCATACCTCGGCCCCAGATCCCACAACGCCCCCCCCCCCCCTCCCCATATAAACCCCCAAGCGCACTAAACCACATGAACCCTTGAACTCCCCCCAAGGGCTCTCAACCCTGAACCCCCTGAACTCTTGCCACCGAAGACTCTAAACTTAAGGGTAGTTGCATGGGCCCTTAATATGGACCCTAACCTCCTTGAAAGGGTGCTGATGTAGGGCCCTTAATTTGTGCAGGGTATATCGGGGGTCCCCTTTTAAGGGCCCATACTAAGGGACCATGTAGCTACCCGTAGACTAAATCCCCGAAACTCCCCCTAAGCCCCCCAACGCTCTACACCCACCCCAAAACCCCATCGAAAGACTCCTACACACCATAAACCCCCTGAATTCCCCAAGCACTCTGAGAGTAAGCCTAAACCCGAATTTCCGTACACCGCGCAAAACACTCCAATCTCTAGACCCTAGATTCTTCCGTAACCCTAAACCCTTGCTACGGACCCAAAAGACAAACAACCTAAACCCCTGAACGGTAGAAACCTAAGCCCCAAACCCTAAACCCCAAACCCCAAATCCTAAACCCTAAACCTTAAAACTTCCCAACGACTCTGGAAGGCAGGCGCTTGCCTGGCAGTTCTCCACCGCCTCGGTGCTCCAGGCCCGGCAATGCCGCCGGAGGGCCTTCCATCTTTGTTTGATGTACAGACTATCGAGAATAAACACTCACTAAGAATATATATATATATATATATATATATATATATATGTATGTGTATATGTATATGTATATGTATATGCATATGTATATGTATATGTATACATACATACATACATGCATGCATACATACATGCATACATGCATGCATGCATGCATGCAGACACACACACACATACATACATACATACATACATACATACATACATACATACATACATACATACATACATACATACATACATACATACATACATACATACATACATACATACATACATACATACATACATACATACATACATACACTACACATTACAGTGCATTACATTACATACAGTACATTACATTACATTACATTACACTACGTTACATTACATACACACTGTGAAGTCGACCAGCACTGGACTTGCACTAAGCCAATGCAATCACAGCCCGGTCACGCTGTTTTACGACTTCGCGAGTTCAAGCACTTGTGCAGCTACGCCTGAGTGCGTCCGGTCGGACCGCACAGCAACCTAAGAGCTACTGTACGACTCTACCGTGCTCAAAGGCACAAGCTCGGTACTTGAGCCAAAATTGGCATTGAAACGAATTGCAAACCTACACATGCAAAGAAGACTACAGTACTGGTCCTGGCAGCTCTGCACATGCAACGTGCGTGCTTAGACCTGCTCACATTCGCCCCTCAGCCGAGGCTTCCAGCTCATCTCGAGCTCGGAGTGCAGCAGGCACTCGCGCTGAACACAGAAAGGGAAGGGAGAGGATGTCGCGTGCGACCGCGGTGGTCCGCACATCATGAGCATTGGCATGCGGCAGGGACGCTAGCCCGCACCACCACACGAACGCACGACGACAGCAACCCTCAGCAGCCCTTAACTACCCTTTCCCAGGAGGTCCTCACCCTTTTGCTGGTGGGCGAGGCTCTTGAATCCTCGAGCTGGTCTCTAGCTGCCAGTACGCAGACTATGGTACAAAAGGTACACTGTACACTACCGGTCCTAAGCTACGGCTACGGCTACTCACCTATCCGGAACTACCCTACGGGCTACCAGACTCAGTGAGAGCCGCGCACATGGCTCGTGCCGCGGGCGATGCAACTCACACGCGCTTCGGCGAGCGCATTGCCGCGACCAGGACACGGTCCGCAGCACCTGCAAAAGAGCACCCTCGGCACGAGGGGCCACAGGCAGGGCGAAGGAGAAAGGTGCGGGGAATGCAAAATGGGCAGGTTTCCAACCTGCCGCGGCTTTTCGCCCGCAGTCAAGCAAAAGAAGGTGCAAAAGGTTGGCGAAGCAACGTGCCGTGCTGCAACGCCTGCTCTGGTAATGCGTGAATGCATACCACGCCGCGCCAACTGGCCGCAGCCTACTCGATACCCTGTGGAGCAGTGTTGGGGGCACGAGTGGCGTTGCCAGCAACGTTGGAGCTACTGGCTCGCTCCAACTGAGGGCGCTTTGCAACCGCCTCATCGAGGGAGAATGCCTCAGCCGACACCCTCTGGAAATCCTCGATGTAGGACTGCGCGACAGGGTGCGTCTTGGGGACCTCAAGCTTAAGCCCTGCCTCCGCATTGGCTTTGCTGCTTGTGGTAAAATTGAGGCTCCCAATCAGCACCACCGCGCCATCAGGCCGCAGTAGGCAAAGGGCCTTGGCATGGTGCAGCCCTTGAATCCCGGTGCCTACCTTAGCCCCGCGGCCGTCGCGAGCATAGGCGTCGCGCACGGATGTGCCACAACCCACCTTCACTTCGGCACCTGCAGCCGCCAAGCGTTTCAACGCTTGCCACTGAAGCTTGGTGCGGTGGCATTGCCCCATGTCGGCGACAATCCGAACGCTTGCGCCCGTGCTAAGCGACGCTTCGATTGCCTCGATGCAGGATGGGCAATCTAAGCTGTACGCCCGGATGTAGATCACATCCTCTGCTGCTCCAGACCCAAGCAGCGTTTGGGCGGCCTGAACGTATGGCCCGCCCGCAAGGAATTCCGCTTCTTTGACTGGAGAACTCCTAGCGGGGGCTGGGCCCTTGTTCCTCCGGCCTGGCGTGCGCGCCACAATGGCAGTGGCGGCACGTTGCACGGAGCCGGACTGTGCGTGGGCCGCGCTCGCTCCATCTGCTGGGACCGCGGCCAGGTCACGACCCGCGAGCCCCTGAAAGCAGGAGAGCCCGCGGCTCTTGGCCGCCAGTTGGGAGAAACATCCTTCACTGTTTCCCAAACCCAACACAACCTTACCCTTAGCCAGGGTTTCGGAGGCGGTACTCCGAATGGAGTCTGTGAGTGCAGGACCCGCGCCTCGCTGGGCCGCGTGCAAAAACCCTAAGGAACGAGCGGTGTCCATTGCGGCATCGCAATGCCCGCAGCGTCCTTCTGCCAGGTAAGCACGACAGCCACAGGCAGCTGTCTCCTCCTTGAGGTGCACCCAAACCTTATGGGTCACCCCTTTCTTAGTGCTCGCGACCTCAAACGTCGCTTCAGAGCCAAGGAGTTGAGACAGCCGCGCCTCAGGGGCCGCGGTGTTGCCATGTCGCATATGCGCAATGCGATTGGCAACGGCACGACTCACGTACCACAGAACAGCGCCGCACAAGATCACTACTACCAGAGTGATGGCTGTTCCGGCGACCCACACGGTCCGCCTGGCCCCATGGCCGATTTCCTCGACAATGTCGGCCGAAACCGTTGCAACCGCGTGCATGGAGTCCTCGACAACATGCACAACCCCGCGGTGCAACTGCAAGGCAATCGGCGCCGACGCTGCAGCCGCCAGGCCCCACCAGCCGTTGATGTTCCCGTTGAGGGCGTGCATCAACCGATTGAGGAGCCCGCGACCCAGGAAAAAGGGGGTCCGCGGCGGAAGCGGAACACTTGGCGTCGGCCGGGCCGACCCGCACGGGAAAGCTGGGACCCAGCTTGTGCTTGGGCGGGGTTGGAGCGCGGCAACAATGCCCGCGGCGAAAGCGCCCCAGGCGTACTTGCCCCTCCCCTTGGGCTTGCCCTTGGCATCGGACTTGCCTCTGCCCTTCGGCTTGCCCTGGCCCTTGCCACGGGCGTCTGCCCAAGCACTCCAAGGGTCGCGGCCCTTCCCGTACGTCGCCTCTTCGCGACGTCTCTTGCCGCCCCTCTTCTTGTGTTTACTTCTAAGAAGAGGCTGGATGGTTTCCTGGTCCATCGCGCGGTTGGCCAGAAGGATCTCGTACTCCAGCTCGTCCTGGCTGCTTTCGGAGCCCGAGTCCCTCTCTTCGCCGCGCCGCGGATCCGGGATCCCGCGGGAAACGACCTCTGCCAAGCGGAGAGGCGTGCTGCACCGAAAGCACAGCTGCCTGAATGAAAGGTTCCATTCATAGCAGTTAGGGCACTGCCACCCTGCTATGCGGAGCGCCTCGCTGATGTGATCATCGCGCTCCGCCTTCTCCGCCTGGCGCCGCTCCCGCTTCTTGGCGCGCTCGGCCGCCCGCGCCTCCTCGGCCGCCTGGAGGGCTTCAGCGAGTGCCTCATCGCTGAGAAGCCTCGCGGCATCTGCCCGCGCTTGCTGTTCTTCAAGCTCTTCGGCAGAAAACCTCCGCCGCCATTGCTCCGGCGCGGTTTGAGGATCTACCTCCCACCACCCGATGTCGATCCCATTGATCCATCGGCCGTCGCACGGGGCGCCCGCGTTCGGGCCGCCCGCGTGCGTGGTGAGGCACTGGTCCTCGGTGACCGGGTTAATGGCTTCGCAGAAGAAGCACCGCCAGCTGCCGTAGGGGTAAAAGCGGCCTTCGACGTAGGCTCGGTTGGCTGGGAGGGCGACTTCGTCCGCCTCATCCGCGGTGCCCTCCTCCATCTCAACCGAGACCTCCTCGTCTTTGACAACCTCTGTTTCCTCCTCCTGTTCCTCCTTGACCAGGCGCTCTTCCTCCTCCCGGCCAACCTTGAGGTGGGACTCAGTGCGAACCTCGGCGCGCATCAGAATGACGTCAAGGCTGTCCGCGGCTGGGTCGCCCGCGAAGAAGGAATCGATCTCCTGGGCATGGAGATCGTCAAGAGGCGTCACCAGGTCTGGCGAATAATCCCGCTTGGAACGACGCTCAGCAAGGCGTTGCTGAACGTCCCCCTTCGGCGGCTCGAGGGCCCGCCCGCGCGGAGCGGCTTCCCGCGGAGGTCCCGACTCGGCCACCTCCCTGGGCTCGCTCTTGGGCGTGGACCCTCCACTGCTGCTCTCTGGAGCGGGATCCAGCTCGGGGTCGTCGCGAAGCCACCCCGGCGGATGACTA